CATAGGGGACAGGACGAGGATGGCATTGGCACCGCGGTGAGAGCTGCACCCGCCTGTGCTGCCCCTCCCTGCCCCGGCACCCCCTGCCCCATCCAGGTCCGTCCCGGTTGGCGCAGGAGGATTGACGCCGAGGTCGGGGTGGTTTATTCCCGCTTTGCATGACACAGGGGTTAAAGTCCCCTTCTTTTTATGAGCCATGAAACCATTTTTATGACCCCTGCTGTTTCAATAGCTCGGCTATCGGCAGCCTCCTTCCCGCAAATGTACGGGGAGAAATTCCAGGCAGAGGTGGATCTGGTGCCACCAAAGCCTTTCCCAGCCATGAGCTGGTGCTTCCAGGACAGGGACCTGCACGCCCCAACTGCTGCTCCTTCTGCTGCTCTTAACAGCCGCTCTCCCCTCCTGCTTGCAGCACCAGCCGGGTCCTGTCCCTCTTCCACAGCTGAGCCGGGAGCCCAAGGGCGACCTCGAAGCTGAGCAGCATCCCCGATCCAGGGCGAGTTTGGCAGAGGGTTGGATGCTGACTCTTCCCAGGAGATGGACAGAGTCACCAGGCACCTCGTCTTCCAGCTCCCGCAGACCTCGCACAAGCACGACTACGATGGTCACCACGCCGGCTCGTTTGCTGAGCAGAGGGCCAACAGTGACGACGATGTGTTTGGCTCTACTCAATACAGCAGCCAGAGGGCGGAAAATGGCTATGGCTGGAAAACGAGGTCAAAGTCACCCTCATATTTCCTCGATGGTGGAAAAGATGTCTGGACCCCATCCCCAGACAGGGAGTCCAAGCTGGAGGTGGTGAGGTCGGGAAGCTTGTATGACCTCAGGGCTTACAGAGGTGAGAGGAAGCCCTCAAAGCTTTACGATGAGGATGAGCTGGAACAGTACAGAGTCCCACCACCGAACATCTCACCTGAGAAAGCCAGAGAGCTCGAAGACGAGAGGAGGGAAGTCATCCGGAGCCAGGTGATGAGGAAGAGCTCCACCATGGCTGAGAGGTGGAGCTCCATGGATGAGCTGAGCTCCATAAACACCAGCATGGGCAGCCGGGGTGATGGCAGGCACACGGGCAGCTTCACCACCAGCTTCGCCGTGTGCTTTGATAAGTCTTCCTCGGGAAGGGCAGTGACGCCTGTTGACCCTGAAAATATTGACACGGAGCAGATCAACTTCTCTGCTGCTCGACAGCAGTTCCTGATGCTGGAAAAGACCAACCCAGGCTCTTTTGTCAGCCCGGGGCAACAGGCCATGTCTCCAAAGCCAGAGTCCATGACAAAAGTCTCCAGGCAAGAGTGGCCCAGTCCCAAGATGGCCACGAAGGCTGCGAGAGGTTACGGTAACACTGATGCGTCCAGCCAGAGCGGGACGGACAAGACCGTTTATCAGGTTTATAGTGTGTCCTACAAGACACCTGTGAAGGAGGAGGTTTATGCTTCCAGAAGGGCTGATACCGAGAGGTCATATCCCACCGGGAAAATGTCCCGCTTCACTAAAACGTATTCCAGAGAGGACCTCGACTCCGGCTTGGGTGAGATGTATAACGAAGGCAATGCAGGCTACACCAGCGACGGAAGCACATCCAACGAGATCTTCAATGGCCTTGTGGATCTGAGGGATGGCAGCGGTGACCCGGACAAGGAGACGAAGATGAGCAATGAGACGCCCATCGAGCGGGAGATCCGCATGGCAATGGAGAGGGAGGAGAACCTCTGGAAGGAGAGGGGGATTCAGCGGCTGACCTCCAGCAGTGAGCTGGTGGAGATCCAAACGAAGCCTCTCCTCTCCATGCACACCTCTCCCGGCCCAGGCAGGAAAGGGAAGGACAAAGGCCGCGCTTCCCTTTACGTCCAGAGGGAAATCGAGCAGGAAACCAAGCGCGAGGAGGATCTGAGGAAGCAAGGGAGGCTGCTGGGGACGTATGACAGGGGGACGCAGCAGGAGCTGGATGAGCGCAGGAGGGTGTTTGAGCAGGAGGAAGCCCCTCCGCAGAAGCCCACCCCCACGAGGAAGGCGGAGGAGCGAAGGAGCTGGGTTCATGAGTCTGTGGTGGAACAGCCCAGGAGCCACAGCCCTCACCCCGCAGAAGACACCGGGGGTGGGAGAGACCTTCCCAGCTCTGCAGTGAGCATCACGCACTTCCAGGCGCCCCAACCGCGCTTCGCCGCCAGCGAGAGGAGCCGGGACCAGCCCCTGGTGTCCCAGCACGTTTCCGCCAGTGCCAGCAAGTGGGGGAGCAAGGATTCCCAGGGAGGAAGGCTTCCTGACTCCACCCCGAGCCCCGCCGGCACGACTGTCCTGCCCAGAGAGTACTTCTTCTTCTCCTTCTGGAAGCCCAAGCTCTCCTTCGTGGACGACATGGGGACGCAGAGGAGGGAGGACGGCCGGGAGGAGCAGTACAAGCTGAGGACCTGGAAGCCCCAAACATCGGCGCTGATCGAGGAGGAGATCCGGAGTGACTTGCAGAGGGAAGAGGAGCTGCAGGAGCAGCGGCGGCGGCGGCAGCTGATAGATGGCTACTCCATGGTCAGCAGCGACGGCTTTCCCCAGGAGGGCTCCCGCTCACGGCACAGCTCCGGTAAGGGGAGGAGAGGAACGGCAGGGTGGGACGGGGCACCGGTCAGTCCTGGGGGCAGAGCTACCACGGGCATCGCTCCTGCCCTCCCCTTTCTTCTGGCTCTGAGCATCAGCAGGAGCCATCAGAGGGGCAGGAGTGGCACCGTGGGGTCCCACGGGACATTTGTGGGCAAGCAGGTGCCTCTCTCAGGCACGGGAAGCTCTTATGGATGGTGTCTGTGGTCTGCACGAGATGCCTCTCACGGACGGCAGCCAGAGGTGACCAGGGCTCTCCGTAAGAGCAGGAGTGGTGACACTGGGGGGGGGGACAGAGTGAGGGTGGAAAGCGCCGGGCCCGGCCTGGGAGAGTCTGGCTGCGGGTGAGGGGACCAAGTTCCTCTCTGCAAGGATTTGCTGAGATGCCCGTACGGACCCATGTGTGTTGGTGGCAAGTTGTCCCAGGAGAAATAAGTCTCCTTGGACAGGTACTCTGTGGTCAGCAAGAAGTGCTTGATGTGAAGTCCCTGGAGCCAGGTGGGGGAGCAGATGTAGGGAACTGATGATGATGATGAGGGATGGGCTCCACGAGAGCAGCATGGCTTTCAATTCCAGAGCTGCTCAGGTTTTGATGACTTTGTGTCATCATCAAAACTGCAGAAAACAGTGCTGGAAGGGCCCAGAAATGCCCAACTCATGCACTTCCCCTCCCTTGCTCCCAACAATCCCCAGCCGACACCCAGACACGGGGGCCCAGCTGGACCGAACCTGCTGGACCTGCCGAGGAGGCCGGTCTGGGGCAGG